CGGGACCGGGGAAGCACAACAGGTAACATTAATGACAAGTCTGGGGAAGACTGACTCAGACGAGGACTAAATACAAAATCACAATCAGGGCTGAACACGAGGTAACGAGGTGGGCGTGGCACACATTAGGAGCGGACGGAGCGGGGTGTGACATAAACTATCTTTTCAAGAATTTTTGCAAGAAAAGGCAGTTTAGAGATTAGCCTGTAATGATTAAGAACTGCAGGGTCAAGAGCGGGTTTTTTTAATAAGAGGCTGGACAGTGTATGCATGACCCGGATACAGATACTTATGCATGTATGTGAAGAAGAGGCACCAATAAATAAACGGATACAGCAGTAATATATCATTTTGCTTCTCTATAGTGTGGACCACAGGGGAGAGTGCAGGACCAGACCAGGCTTACAGAAATGTAAGTGTGTCTGGGTTTTTTTTATTAATGATTTATTATCTTTTTATTAATGATATCATTAATACTACTTAATGATTGTATCAAAATAATTGTGATGAGTTTGTTTTTTGCAATTTATGTAGATGGATTTCCATGTTTGTGTTTAGGTGAGCTTGGGTGTGTGTTTACTTTTAGCTAACATCCAAAGGAGAAAAATAAAACAGACATAACCAAAAACATTAAATTATTTATACATTTTTTTTAAACAAAACTGCTCGATTTATACATGACTGGTTTCTTAAATAAAATAGGAGTCTGGGAAATACTTCATAGCTGTTCATATTGTTCTTGTGTTTGTGTGAGAGTGTAACAGGGAAAAATACATTATGATGTGACTGTGCATCTATAATTTCACAAAAAACCTTATTTGTTCTTTTTGTGCACACAGTGAGTCTATTTTTTTTTAAAAATCATTCACCAAACTAGTGATGACACCAGACTTTCTCCTCAGTCATGTCCAAAGCGATGTGAAATAATGTCATATTTTACAGTAAAGACCCTCATTTTTAGTATTAATCTTGGGTGTCAAATTTTGTGGTGAATATGTATGATTAGTATTGTTGTTTTGTAATTATTTTACCCATGATTAAGCCTGATTAGCATATGCAGCATTTCAGTCGAGCTTCCCACCAACTTTCAACTTTTCTTGAGGTATTTCACATAATTCATAGTCACATAATTCCTGTGTTGGGGGAAGCTGTGCAGTTTTTGTATTGTACAGAAAAATAAAGTATTGGCCAAAGTCCCAAGCAAGTCCATCAGTGTGGCGTCTCACACACAGTGCAGGGGCAGCTAGAGTGTCATGGAATCAGGCAGCAACACGACTAAAACTGAGAATAAAATGTGTTAGAGCGAGTTCTGCATTAGTGAGTGTGTGAGCTGTGACAGTGATAAAATGATGTAGATGCTGATCTGCCTGATGGTATTACTGGCTCTTCCTCTTACCTACAGACCCCTGCCACCTGACACTGGACCCCAACACAGCATACAGCCACCTGTCTCTATCAGAGGGGAACAGGAAGGTGACATGTGGGGCAGAGCAGCAGCCATATTCTGATCATCCAGAGAGATTTGACTGCTGGCCCCAAGTTCTGTGCAGAGAGAGTCTGACTGGTCGCTGTTACTGGGAAGCTGAGTGGAGTGGAGATGCAGCCTACATAGGAATGACTTATAAAGGAATCAGGAGGAAAGGAGACAGTGCTGATTGTCTGCTTGGAGACAATGACAAGTCATGGAGTCTGCGCTGCTCTCCTCACAGTTACTATGTCCGGCACAATAATAAACTGACTGTCATACCCATACAGCCCTCAGGGTCCTGGAGAGTAGGAGTGTATCTGGACTGGGAGGCTGGTACTCTTTCCTTCTACAGGGTCACCACTGATGGACTGACCCTCCTGTACAGGTTCAACTCCTCATTCACTGAACCCCTCTGTCCAGGGTTTCGGGTTTATCCAAACTCCCCAGTGTCGTTGTGCATGCTGAGATAGCTCACTGTTTGCTGGAGGAACCATTTTAGCTGTATCACAGTGTCACATGTTGCCTTTTCTCTATGGTAAATCTCTGCTTTCTAACCTATATAACCATTTTTATTGTTTGACAAAAATAAATAATGAGGTTTGGTGAATTCAACAAATACGCAGAAACACTTTTATCTATATTTCTTTTGGTTCAATAGAAGTAGTGGTTACATAAGCCTTAAGTCTCCCATGAATATGTACATTTTACATATTGGTCTATATATTGTATTTCCTACCTGTACAATGACAATAAAGGCTTTCTGTTATATCATGTTAATGTCCTGGTTAATCGGTGCCAAATGCATAAGGGAGTAATATTATTAAATAGCAAAAAGCATAAAATTCTCATTATTGAATATTGACTCTTTAGTAAACAAATCACTTCTTGTCAATGACATGGTGCTGGACACTGGTACAGACCTGTGTTTTTTTTTTTAACAGAAACTTGGCTCAGACCCACAGACACTATTCCTCTTGCTGATGTCTCCCCTGGTGACTTTAGTTTTGTACAGAAACGATATGGCCCTGGACATGGAGGCAGCCTGGCAGCTATTTTTAACTCACTGTTAAAATTTCTCATTTTTTCATTAATTTTGAAGCAATGCTACAATTGATGTCTGACCCACCCACCTATATTCTTACAGTATATAGGCCGCCTGCACCAT